ATGATCGTGAGAAGTTGTGAGAAGAGATTGTGTGTGGGTGGGGTGTCCTAACAAAAGAAATGGGAGTGTGTCAGAAGTGGTTGTGTGTGTACGCTATGTGTTCTGCTTATTGGGACGTGTGGTGGAGTACGAACAAAGATCCTGCTATATTGCACTCAACGAGTGTCCTATTACACTATGATCTATGGTCTGATACAAAACCAAGCTATGCATAGAGTGCTTGCCTCTGTTATAAAGGGATATAACTATATTACAGGTGAAAATGTGGGAATATAATACTGCGAGCCTATACGATATACGACGACACCAGGCTGCTAAGCTGCAAGGGTACACACACTCCCACACACTCCCAACAGAGGTGCGTCAAGGATGCGCAACACGAGTTAACTATAAAGATAAGATTTCGTGATAATGTACACACAGTATGGCAACACCCATGAATGAATGGGAGTGGTCGTATGTACAAGGCTAGTCTACCGGTGCGATGCCGTATGATTGCAGTGAGCCCTGTTTGAACCCCATGGACGCTCCTTAACTTAAGGGCAAAGCATGGACGGTCCTAAAATTCAGGACAAAGCATGGCCGGTCCTAAAATTCAGGACAAAGACGCATTATGTCGCATATCGTTTGAAACAAACTATGCATAACAGACAGGAACACAACTTCAACGACAAATGCCTATGCCAATGCAATGAACTCTTAAATGTATTGATAAACAGGTACACATACCAACTGAATGTATTTATACACATTTACACATACCAACTGAATGTATACATACACATATACACATACCAATTAAATGTCTTCATACCCACATACACACACCAACTGAATGTATACATACACATATGTACGTACCAATTAAATGTCTTCATACACATATACATATACCAATTAAATGTCTTCATACACATATACACATACCAACTGAATGTATACATTCACATATGTACATACCAATTAAATGTCTTCATACACATACATATAGCAATTAAATGTCTGCATACACATATACACGTACCAAGTGAATGTATACATACACATATGTACATACCAACTAAATGTATACATACACATATACACATACCAATTAAATGTCTTCATACACATATACACATACCAACTGAATGTACACATACACATATACACATACCAATTAAATGTCTTCATATACACATACACATACCAATTGGATGTGCTGGGCAAACAGCGCCACCCCGTCACTGCGTGCGTAGGCGCCGTTACAGAGACCTATGGCAATCTTGTAGAAGTCCATGGGCTGCTTAATCACTTTGTAATAGAGCGGCAGCTCACCTGATGAGTGTATTTAAAACATATGATTGGGGTTGAAAACGTTGATGGAGGTGCTTTCAGTAACATCTATTTGTAGAAGCTCATGACTAGTTGATGAATCTGTACTACAACGGAAGTTCACCTAATATTGAAAACGTATGAATATGCCAGAAAACGTAATGATGGTGTACCAGTAGTACCATTGACTGGTAGTAGTCCATGGATTGGTCTGACCACTTTTGCAGCACAGCGTAAGTTTACCTGGTCAGCGGTTGGTAAACAGTGAGCGCTTCTCTTCTATGCGTATCGAATGCGTACAGATACCCCGAAAACGTATTTAAGGTGAGTTGTAGAAACTGAGATGTGTGGGTCTGTGGTCACAGCAAGACATCGCCAGTTAAACGTAAAGCGTTAACCGTTGCGACAAGTGCAACTACACGCAAACCGTATCGACAGCCTTGTATTATATAGGGAATACGTTCAGTATGAGAAGTATGCCGCGTTCAGCATGTATCAACTACCACTATGCACTAACAGCATACATCTGAGCCGCAGTGAGTGTGGTAACGTTTAAAATTGAGTGGTAGTAGGAACGTACATGGTTAGCAAGGACACACTTGTAATCGTACAACATATACACGTTCATTCACACTCGACACACACAAGCTTGTATCCTCAACACGTGTACGCACCCATTCACACACAGAACACACATACACTTGTTTCTTTACCACGTACACACATACATTCACACACAACGTACACACACTGGTTTCTTTACCACGTACATACATACATTCACACACAAAACACACACACTGGTTTCTTTACCACATACACACACATTCACTTGTATCATTAACATACATACACTTGTAGTATAAACACATATACACATACATTGACACACGACACACATACGTTTAGTGGGCAGGATAGCAAAGTTGGTGATCAAGTAATCGGCCACATCCTCGTCTGTGTCTTCGACTTCTTCTCCGAAATCCGCCAGATTGACTGTCTGATTGGTCAACGCCTCATACATGACGTAGCATGACTTCTCCTGTGTGCACTCGAGGTCAAAGGGAAGCAACACCTGTACAGGAAGTACAGGGACAAACAGGGATAGGTGGGTAGGTCAAGGCATGGATGGGTTAGTATATGAGATAGATGTATAGGTATATAGGTATATATATAAATACATACGTATATACATATATAAATTCACATATACATACATACATACATACATACATATACCTACATACCTACATACCTACATACATATTGACATACATATATAAACACATACACACATACATACAT